ATAGTCATTAGAGAAAAAAAACACTACTCCATATTTATTATATCTTATACGTTATTATAATACTATACATAAATATCTGTAATAAATTATAATGCCTATGATTTATTTCAACTAAATATTGTACATACTCAGGCAGAATATAAATAWAGGTATACCATGGAATATGTATAATGCGAATATTCCAAATTAGTATCTTTTTATTTACGTCATAATATAATAGTTTAATTGAAGCTTATTATTTGTTATTGTAAATAACAAATATTTCTTATTTTACTCTAACAATTTGTTCATGCTTTCATTTTGGTTTGAGACTAGCGGAAATGTTTGTCTCAATAGCTRGTGGAGCGTTCGCACTTATCTTAATCTTGATGTTATATTGATTAATTGGTTTTGTAATCAATTATTGAAATTCAAGTTATTAGTAGTAACATTAGTAATATGTAGTCATATTTAAAAAAAGTTTTATTTGTCTATTACTATTATTATTTTTTGAATTTTTTATACAGTTACGATTCAATTATTTTGTAAAATTAATTTTATAGAATGTATACTTGTTAAAAATTAACATACAAATAGTTTAAATCCATTATTTTCGATCAAAACAAAAAATCCCTTTTGATTGTAACCACAATATAATTATTTATATAAATCTGGTGATCAATTTTATAATATATGTAAAGCTAATGTTTTACTATGAATACCACAACCGTACTTTAGCGAGAAAAGGTAATCCTGGGAATGTACGTCTTAATCAATATCATTTAGAATATAATATCAATTATGGATGAGGGTAAAGACATATTTTAATTTTGAGTTCTAGTTTGAAGCTATTCTAAGTTAAGTAGATTCAATGAAGTGACATATTCCACATAGTCTAGATCTAATATATAATAATTATTAAAATAAAACAACATTGTTCTATGTCATTACTCATTACAGTATGGGTTTTAGCGTTCAGATAATATATAAACTGGAGAAAATATGTAAAAAATCATGAAAACATTATGTATTTATTATAATATATTTATGTAATTATATATGTAAAAATAAAATCTCTACATATGATAATTAA